TGTCTTGAAATCTATAGAAGATATATGTGTCAGTTGTAGGATATGATGTAGCTGGCTCTACAGGAAACCGCTACCAAAGTCTATTTACTATTTTCTGATTAGGGGTATGGTGCCCTTGGACACCATGAGCAGCAGCATCTAGTATTAAAGGGATTCAATCTTGTCACAATTCAAATGGAGTGAAAGATGACACGGGACGGAGATCAGATGAGTAGTAAAACATACGTTTTGTAATTGTTGGTATCTCCAGGCATCCTAAGGAAAGCTCCCATAGTATTCCCTCAGTTCACTCAATAGTGTCAGTCTACCTTGCTTTAGAGACTTGCAGCAGCGTACATCTCCATCCATGGGCCCCTTTTTAAAGAAAGACAGGTGTTAATCTGGAGGGAACCATAGGAAACCCCCTACCAGGGAGAGTGGAGGAGCCAGCAACCCTTCTCTGTTCATTGCTTCCCACAAGTGATGGGGCATAGGGGAGGCATTGTCTGACAGGTCTCTAAATCCCCATGGCAGCCAGGGGGCATGAGTCAGGTTTCTTCCTGCCATAATGTCTTTCTATTTCTACATGTTACGCAGCCAAAGTACAAAACAAGTAAAGAACTAACGTAGACAACACAGCACATGTGGACCAATGAATGCTAAAAGTAGTTGCCCATAAGGCCTTCTTTGCACCCCCACTCACCTAGCAGCACAGCACAACTCATTTACATTGTTGCCACCACAAGGCATGAATGTAAACCATCTGTGTGTCGTGGTGCACTACATGCGCTAAAATACCCTGGCAGGCCATTCAAAATGTATGGATGATAAAATCTGCCCAGGCTCTGTTTGTGTGGGGGTTTTTGTATCCTGTATGAAAAGCGTGAAACCCAAACTTAGCAGCTTACCCCATTGAAGTCTATTGGGGGTGAATCTTGATACTAATTTCTGGCCATTTTTCAATGCTAATAGGCTTCAATAACTTTCCTTGTAGTAAGCTCCAGTTGCTGGAAAATCACTGACACTTTCTGCTCCCTGTGTGATATTTTCTTACGTCTCTAGTCATGGTACTGTCTTCCTTAACCATAACACATAATATTGCATTGCTTTAAGGCATGTGCTTTAACACAATGCATAGAGTGAATGGGGCCGTACTGCTATCGGTAACAGTACTTTTAGCATTTGCTGGTTATAGTTTGTTAATCTATTGGTCCACTTTGCTGCAGTTCAAGTTCCTTGCGTTGCTACACAATGCTCCCCCCAAGGGAAATCTTAAGCTCACAGAATCAGAGTTACCATAGAATAGATCATCACGATTTTCAGTGTATTGTCTTTTATTATTTATGATTTTAAAATGTATTAAAGTCTAGATAGTCTTTAGATAGAGAAAAGTTAAACATGTAGCAGTCAGCACTCTTGCCTGTCAGCCCTGATCCTCTGCCAGCCTCCTCCACCGCCGAGCCCCGCCTCCTCCTCCATCGCCAGGCCCCGCCTCCTCCTCTGCTGCCGATGCTGGGCCCAGCCTCCTCCTCCTCTGCAGCTGCTGGCTGTCACTGACTCAGCAGCGGCTGTAAGGAGGAATGCACCACTGCACAGATCACTGATATGTTGTCAGTGATCTGAACAGCGGCGCATTCCTCCTTACAGCCGCCAGTGACAGCCAGCAGCCTGCGATTCCAAAGCCACCCAGGCGGCCCACATGGCATCAGGAGGACCCCTTTGTTCCTCATTCTGGCCGGCCCTCCTGTGCCCAGTGCCCCGTGCCCCATAGCGGCCACCTGTGTCGCTATGGCGATAGTTCCGCCACTGCATTTTACCTATCATCATTGCCTTCTCAAATAAGGCCACATGTAATGTAGTAAAATGGCTTGGGGGTAACCGAAGTAATTATATAGACTGGCAAATTTAAACAAAAGGCCATGAATACATTATTGCAACTTGCACTTTCTCAATATTATATTTATTTTCTTTTTATTTTGTACTTATCTTTTTGTGATGTAATTTTGAGGATATTTTTTAACCATACCATAACGGAATACAGGTATAGAATGGATATAATGTTCACCTCAGATCTTAATATATTTTTATAATTTTGGGTTTAATAATTACTTACTAATAAGTGTTCTATGAACTGGAACTTGTCCTGTTGAAATATTGTTCATACAATGTTCAATAAAGGCGAAAATAGAGGTAATGGAAAATTCCCAGAGGCTTTTTAAACCGATTTCAGAAATTGTGTTAAAATAAACAGAAATCCAGCCAATAATTAATAATAAATTGTCTCTTGTGGATTTTGATCACCTAATACAAGCCAGGTCCATTTATCTCCCTGCACTGAAAAGCCCCTCCAATATTTTCTAAAGGGAATGTCAAACATATTTGATGGTTCTTAGAAGCCAAGAAACATCAAATATTGTTAGAGCTTTACAGCGTAGAACTGTTCTTTTTCTTTTTCATACAAAGTACAGTACCAAGCATTTAAAGCATAATTTGTATTATAAAACTATTTAACCTCATTTCTTAAAATTTATTTTTTCAATTACATAATATTAATAAAAAATTCAAAGAGATGTCTGACTAAAATATACCTATAACAGACCTTGCTTATACTTCGGGATCTCCTCACCCCATAAAAATCACTGTTTTTTTAGTGTTTCAAAGTGTACCTGTAAAGTAAAAATGTAGATTATGTAGTTATGTTACCCCATCTTCTGCATTGCAAGGTGTGACGTCACTATCCTTTCGGGAAAATTCCTGGGGAATGATTTGTACCCCAAATCTTCGAAGAAGACACTCCAGGCCAGTGCTAGAGCAGCTTCTCGTGATATTTGGTTTGCTTTGAATTCCACCTGAATTCACAATTTTAACTGTAACACCATTCCCCTAGGTGTCACAGGAACTACCAAAGGCCTGACATTTATACAGAGGGTGTGGGCCTGGACATTTCACACAGACCTTGGATTTTACTGGTTCCACTTTAAAGCAAACCAGTCCTGTATATATTGTTTATAGACTGTCAAATGTACCACAAGGTCTCTGGAGATACATTTCATATCCTGCAAATAATTTTCTGTGCCCTGGACTTCAGCTCCAATTCTGATCACTGCCACATCCCCTTTATCATCATCCCATGAACTAGTAAGCTAGCTGTTTTGGGCCATTGAGGCGCTTGTCTTTGGTTTGCATGATGGCTGATGGTGTGGCAGTGCTCCAAATTAAAGGTAACATCTAAACCCATTTGGTCAGTTTGCCAGAATGAGAGGAAGGGATTCCTTAAAACATATAAAAGGTTTTGCCAGATATGTTAAACACTTACATGGACCTCATAGTCCCTGCTCTTCAGCAAACTGGTACATCTGTTGACTTTGTTTACATGATAAATTTACTTCATTGACAGGACTAATGTTTCATGGCATGCCTTTAACCCCTTCATGACTGAGCTTGTTTTTAGTTTCTGTTCGTAAATGACTGACACACTTTTGACATTTTTGCTGTGTGATTCTTCCACGTCAGTAATATACTTTCTTACAAAGTGCACCCACACATATTATATATTGTTTTTTAGAGGACAGATAGGGCTACATATTTATATCACATATGTGTGTCTAACGCCTCACTTAGGACAAATAAAATATAAAAAAAGAGGAAAAAACCGTTTAAAAAAAACACTTTTTTCCCAGTTTTGATTTGTAGTATTTTTTTTACAAAACCAGCACAGCTAAAAAAAATGCAATAAATACATTCATTTATTTGTCCCTTATTTTATTTTATTTTTTACACATTTTTTTATTTTTTTTACACTTTTCACAATTTTTTTTTTTTTTTACACTTTTCACTTTTTTTTTTAACTTAAAAATGTTATTTTATTTATTTAATTATATCAAGCAGATTTTGTGAATTAATCTCACTGTTACTGCATGATAAATTAATAAATTTTTGGTTATTATCAGGCTGCTTCAAACTTCAGAACAGCCGATAATAAGTTAGTGACACTGATCCTGCAGCAGTTCAGGATTCAGCTGTTACTAAATGTTTTCTGATTGTTGCAACAACGATCAGCAAACAAACATTCTTCTTCCAGGAATAGATACATTGTAGGAATAGACACATTTTGTATCTATTCATGAAAGAAAAAAAAAAAACCAGTATAGCTTGAGAGAGATATCTCTCGATCTATACGAGCTGTCAGAATGCCGGCAAAAGCCGGCATCTGTGTCCGCTTTGCTTTGACTCTCAGACACCCGATATTAAGGTATCGGGTGTCTGAAAAAGGTTAACCCTTTCATTAATGAATGCCTCTGTAGTAAGGGCATCCATTAATGAATGTTAAAAGCTGATTCTCAGCGATTAACAGCCCTCTAAAGCAGCAAATAACTCGTCACGTACAGTGTACGTGACAAGTCATTTGGTCCCTTTGTGGCTGGACGTACAGTGTACGTCTCCCGTCACGAAGGGGTTAAAGAGAAAATGGTAAGTAATCACAACTGATCAGACAGTAATGTCAAAATGCAGGCTTGTTGTGGTGCTTGTAAGAAAATATGTTAATACTCAACTGTTTTTTTTGGGCCTTGGGAGTCCCTAGATCGTGGGTCCATGCTCTGCATAGATACTCAACATTTCAACACTTCCTGTGGTAATTTAATTTACAAGAGGGGTATATTTATCAATTTTTTTCACCCAAGATTCACAAATTGTGGCATGGGATTAATCTAGAAAACATGTAAACCTTGGCCTCTAATTGTGTGAATCTTAGGTGAAATAAGTAGACCTTAATGTTTGATGGAAAATAAAATACATTCCTGCACTGATCATTTGATGACATTTCAGATGAAAAATATTCTATTGCTTGCCATGCATTCACATTTCTATAGAGGAATCATAGCAAACCACAAGCTGATCTGCAACAGACATAAACTGATTTTGCAAACCAGGTACATTAGTCCTAATGCTATATAACTATAGTTCAACCAATAAGAATGAAGATTAGTGATGAATATTGTGAATGTTGTCTCTTTTTTAAGATCCTGAAATTATGAATGGAATTTACTGGTCGGAATCATTAAACAAGGTGTTTGTTGACAACTTTGATCGTGATCCATCCCTCATTTGGCAATATTTTGGAAGTGCAAAAGGTTTTTTTCGTCAGTATCCAGGTAAGGAATCAAGCCTGTACTATAAGTGTAGTAAATCGGTTATTTTAGAAAGTGGCAATGCTTTGTATGACATTTAATGATTATAACAGCTCTTTAAAGAAAACATCCTGGCTGCTTTGATAAATCCTATTGTGCAATAATGAAAAAATGTCATGCTTCGTAGCAATGACAGCTCTAGTGTTTGTACTGTATCATCACTGTTGACATTGCGTTATCTTCCTTACACCGTATGATTTTGTTATTGCTGTAAGCAGCCAAGGCTTGTCGGTAATATGGCCTTAGTACCTAGATTAACTGTTTCTCTGCCAGACATACTGTAATACAATAGATGGTCCAAGACTGGAGAATTAATATACAAGACGGTCAGTGAATTTAGACATACTGCAGTAGATGTTTAAAGATAGGATACATGCTGCTGGAGATGAGCATAAGCTGGAGACTGTTAGATATAATTTTCATTACTGTCCCTTTACAAGCCAATGTTTAAATATTTGTTTTCCCTACAGCCCCCTTACAAATTACTGATGCCAGCAATTGACATTTCTCTCAGCAATACTCATTAAAATATTCAGAAAAATATTAAAAGGGAATGGACAGCATACACAATGTTTGGAAGTATTACAGCAAACCAAACTAGCAGAAACATTTCTAATTATTATTTTTTTTACTAACCCTGAGTAAGCACCTAGGCACCACACACACTGACTAATGTTTTCTGAACTAGAGAGAGCCTCCTGACTTCCTTTCATCATAACCTGCACCCTGTTCTCTCTATAGTTCTGTTGTGGAATTTAGTCACCAATGCCAAGAGGTGGCCAAAGGAGGGAAACAAAATAGGTTATCACAATTTGTTCATTTTAAGATTTGATGGTACCCCATCCCTATTCCTGCTACCCTACATACTAGCCATTATGCTAAATACCGCTCTGTTTGTAGTTCCCAAACAATGAAAAGCAGATTTTGTGCAAGCCTGAATTGTATAATAAATAATATACTGTTTTTTTCTAAAATGTAACCATGCTTAAAGTCACAGTGGTGTCCTTTGACTCGTGTTATTGTTGGGTGCTTCACAATAGAATTCTCTTTTATTGCCTGAAACTTTCCTCTTGCTTTTTTTGACTAGGCATTAAATGGGAGCCAGATGATAACGGAGTTATTGCATTTGACTGCAGAAACCGAAAATGGTAGGTCACCTATTGTACAGCAGATGTGTTTACTTCCTCCATCAGAAAAAAATGTAGCGGAAAAATAACAAACTGTGTTTACTTCTGTCATTTCTTAATGCAGGTATATTCAAGCAGCTACCTCTCCGAAAGACGTAGTGATTTTAGTTGATGTCAGTGGGAGCATGAAAGGCCTGCGTCTGACAATTGCAAAGCAGACTGCATCCTCGATTCTGGACACCCTTGGAGATGATGACTTCTTCAACATAATTGCTGTATGTTGCTGTCTTCTTTTAACATCCCTCTCCTATGCAACCTTTTAAGTGGATGCGTCTGGACACCTGCAGGAGGCCTCTGAGCGATGTCAGCACTTCAGATGCGCTCATTTCTCCATTCAGTCAATATTAATTTAAGTGATAAGTTGAACTCTTGTACTCCTTTCAAAGGCCCCATTGACAAGCTCCCCAGTAAGCAACACAAAGAACACTACTCATAGCTATTTCAGGCCAGTAATTGTTACACGCCGAGTATATATTGGTCAAAGCTAAGAAACACAACTCAAAGTTAAGAAAAGTTTTCTATATTTTTGCAGCTCATGGATAATTCCAGTTAATTTATATGTATATATTGATGGGTTGAGTATCAAATGGAGGGCAAGGTTAAGGAGTCAACTAGCTGATGTACGTTTAAGGACTTTCTGCCTACTTTTATTGTCTCAAATGTTGTAACAACATAGAAGTTTCCCATGCAGGGGTATATTTGGCAAATATACAGCAAACTCAAAGTTACACCTTTGGCTATGTTTCTAGCAGCCTGGTTGCTAACACACAAGTCGGGGCCAGACGGTTTACCCCCTGGCTATGTATCTAGCCGTCTGGTCACTGACAGCTTAGTCAGATCAGCTGTCCATCTGGCTCCCTTTAGACTCTTGGCTAGCTTTCTCGCCGTCTCAGAAGCCCTGCAAGTTTGAGTCTCCCCTTGTCAGTTTCAGTCACAGACAATGGGGGGAATTTATCAAAACTGGAGCAAACAGAATCTGGAGCAGTGGTCCATGGCAACCACTCAGCATCTATCTTCAGTTTACTCAGGTAAGATTTGAAAATTAGTCAGAGAAGCTGATTGGTTGCAGTACTCCAGATCTTGTCTGCTCCAGTTTTGATCAATTCCCCCAATGTCTCGGTTAGGTCTTGGTCAGACCCGCACTATGTACAACACACTGTTCAGGTCTTACAGGCCTAGACACACACATCCAGCATGTTCCACTCACATGCTGCCTTAGCAGCACTGCCCTACACAGGACCCCTGCCTGAGTGAAGCATCTTTCTAGTGTTGGATCACCTAGTGGCCCATGTGCCAGAATACTTTCTGAGCTCTTCCCTTTCAAACGTCTAAATACAAAATGAAACTATAAAATGATCCACACTCTTCCTATTAGAGACATATGCAGCCTATAATAATACTGTATATACATTATACACCCATAAAAAATATAGCAAAAAAAGTGATTATGAAATCCTTACACAAAATGCCTATTAAATATAATCCATAACATTAAGACACAATATTTATTTTCCTTATTGTACTTGAGCAAGCTCTTAAAGAAGAGCAAATTCAAAAGAGTAACTGTATCTCCCACTGTATTGTGCACACCTGCACCTTTAACTGGGATATCACAGAACCGCAGTGCATCTACCTACGGCACAGACCCCATTGTACAGCTTAGGAGATTTTATAGGCTGACAGAAAAAGAGGTCATAAAGAACTTAGGTAATATGAGTGCCAGGGTACCTGCCAGTCCCACCGGAAAGCTCTTTCTTGTAATCATTTTTCTCCACTCTCTGTGCACTCCAAACTGCCTGGAGACACTTCGGAACTCAGCGGACAGGCAAGATAAGAAGAAAACACTCCAATTGTGCAGATCAATAAGGTGTATTAAGAATAAAAAACTCAAAAGCTTTCCAGTATCAACAAGCATACATAGTGTCTGTGTCACACTTTCTGACTCTGCCCAACGCATTTTAAATATTAGGCTATCATCATGGATGCTTATTCACTCTGTAGATAGATAGACAGGTAGAGAGATAGATAGATAGATAGATACAGTAGATAGTTACAGTAGATAGATAGATAGATAGATAGATAGAATAAACAGACAAATTCAGGTGACAAGTAGCCTTTTTTGGTACCCTGAAGTCTCTCAAGGCCTAACATGCAACTACACAAAACACAAAAATTCCCCAGCCTCAACCTGCCAGCCAGCCTGCAACCAAACAAGTAGCCCTGTCAACAGTATGCGTTAAAATCAGAGGTTTTTGTTGCACAAACTTTTGGCCAAAAATATGTAGAAGCCACACTGCCGCGCCAAGGCACCTCTGCAAAGTGTGGTCCTAACTCTATGTATCCGAGTCTCCAAGTGTGAGCATATTCATGAAGTTGATAAATTACATGCAGGTGTACCTGGAGGTAGCCAACTCCTCCTGATAAGGTGCAGGGACGCACTGGAGGCCCAGCAACCAAAAATGCACGCTGGGACTCCAGTGCGTTCCCCTAACCCAAAATAGTCAAACTAGAAAAAATGGCACATGCACTTTTGCAAAGTGTGCAAAGGCACCTCTGCAAAGGCACCTCTGCAAAGGCACCTCTGCAAAGTGTGGTCCTAACTCTATGTATCCGAGTCTCCAAGTGTGAGCATATTCATGAAGTTGATAAATTACATGCAGGTGTACCGGCATGTAAAAAAATGCACGCTGGCACTCCAGTGCGTCCCCCTAACCCAAAATAGTCAAACTAGAAAAAATGGTACATGCACTTTTGCATGTACCATTTTTTCTAGTTTGACTATTTTGGGTTAGGGGGACGCACTGGAGTCCCAGCGTGCATTTTTGGTTGCTGGGCCTCCAGTGCGTCCCTGCACCTTATGAGGAGGAGTTGGCTACCTCCAGGTACACCTGCATGTAATTTATCAACTTCATTAATATGCTCACACTTGGAGACTCGGATACATAGAGTTAGGACCACACTTTGCAGAGGTGCCTTGGCGCGGCAGTGTGGCTTCTACATATTTTTGGCCAAAAGTTTGTGCAACTAAAACCTCTGATTTTAACGCATACTGTTGACAGGGCTACTTGTTTGGTTGCAGGCTGGCTGGCAGGCTGAGGCTGGGGAATTTTTGTGTTTTGTATTGTTGTAAGCCTTCCCAATGTGCGCCCTGCTATAAAGGCCGGTTATAGATTCATGCATGTACCATTTTTTCTAACATGCAACTACATTCAGACAGTAAGTAGGTTTTAGTTGGCGTGTATTAGAGCAATAGAGAACAAGGAGATCCCAGGGCCACGATTCTATATTGTAAAATAACAGTGAGGAGGTGGATGGCTATTTCTGGAATGACGTTTTAAGACAGTCTATAAATAGCTATTTATTTATTTGGGCACCCCCTGAGGCTGCTAATCTCTGTGTTCTCAGATGTCTCAGTATACAGAGCTAGTGTAAAAAGCCGATCCAAGCAGCTCCATACTCTCTTATAAATGTGATGACTAATCAGATTAGCCACATGCCACTGTTTACACTGTTTACTAGAGAGGAAGGAGAGAAATCTAGTAGCTTATGAATGGGAGAATAAATACATGAGTAGCTGCTGATTCATACATTTATTCTCATGGATCTTTTTTAAAACCTTTAGTGCCCATACTCTCATAAACTGCTGATCTCCAGCCCACCTCTGTAGTGTGACCTGTATATTAACCCTTCATCTCCCTTATGCGTACCTCTGCACATTAACTCCTTCATCTCCATCCTGCCCATGTATGTGACCTGTGGCCTTCACCTCCCGATCCCTCTGTGTATGACCTGTTATGCTGTATCTAGGAGACCTCCTCAAAACTCTGTGTCTTAACCACCTCCATACCCCCATGTTTCTTCCTTTCCAAAGAATTGTGGCAAAAAAATAAATAAACTTGGGGTTTCTACTTTCCAAAAAAAGGCGTCATTTTGGGAGTGTTTGCACTGTCCTGACATTTTGTTTTCAACAGAAAATATGGGAAACAAGTTGTTTAATTTTTTCCCTTCAATACTAAAAAATAAATAACCCACTGCGTATTAAATACCCTCTGTCTGAATCAAAAAATGATATAAGATAAAATTAATTTGGGTACATTTGGGTACAGTGTTGCATGATGGAATACTTGTTAGTCAAACCTATCAAAGCCGTGAAAAATTGTTTGGTAATGAAGAGGTAAATACAGGATGGTATTCACGTGATTAAACTACTTGTATGTTTTTGTAGTGTAGGAGGAAAATAAAGCTCACCAAGGAAGTGCACACAAATATGTACAGGCCATGTTGCATGCAGATATCATAGTTGAGAACTTAGCCCGGGACCCCAGTACAAAATCTTGTAGCTCAGGATACTCAGCACGTATGTTATCAATTTGCATGCTATTTTCACACCACAAGCTATTTTATGCAAATAAACCCCTTTCCACATAGACATATCAGCTTTAGAGATACTTGAAGTGTCTCATTAGGTCAAATATCTCCCTTATAAATCTTTAATTACTCGGTGCATAATTACTCCAATCTTTATTATTGTGAGACATAATTACAATTAAAATGTCATATCATTTTAATTTTATTATATTTCTTTAACAAAGCCAATATTTAGCATTTACATAAAAGATATTCTTTAGGTTATAGCAATTAGTTATCTGGGCAATTAGGGTAACAAAATAATTACATGAAATAAATAATTATAAATATTATCAGATTCAGGGCTGTTACTGACGGTGTAATGGCATCATCCCAAATTAAAAGGATTAACTGTACAAATATGTGCACTAGGCAGAGTTAAATACTAGACAGGGTTTCTTTTAAAAACAGTTAGCACAGCACTAGCATCCCTAGATGACGCTGATGAGTATAGAAATCTCCTATATTAGCGCCTTCTAGGGACTCTAGTGCCATGCGAACAGCATCTGCATGGCTGTATGCAGGGCAAAACTTTTATAAATGAAGCCAATAGTGTTTTTTAATGACATGCACACACAAATGTTTAACAAAGTATAGGTTTTAGATAAAGAAGAGATGGGGTAGAAACTTTGCCACATTCCCTTTACTACCATTTTTAGAAAAAGCTCAGTAATGGCAGCCTAGATTTTTCTCTGTCCCCTGCAGCTCCTACTGTTAGAGCTGAAAGAAGCACGATCATTGACACCCCCAAAGAAAAATGTAGGCTGCCAATATTGACCACTTTTTGCTAAGTGTCTGGCTGTCTTTG